CAAAACAATTCTAACTTTATCGTTCCTAAATCGGTGTGTAATGTTACAGCCTAAAAAATAAATTAATTAAATAAATTTAAACCATATTGAGGTTAGGTTATCTATCAATGAATTGTTGCTGTTTAATCTAACCTAAAAGTGTGAAGAAACGCGTTCGTTATAAAAAAAATTGATTTAATGTAAAAATAAGTGAGATTTAATACGCATTTATTTGGTTTATATGAAAATCGATTAATTAACTTTATTCTAAAATAGATTTAGAATTTAATTTTATAGGAAAATTAATAACCTAACACGTTCGTGGGTAAGTTAGATTCCTTTAAATTTGACGTATTAAGCATAACCTGTAAACAAATAAACTTGAGGACTTTTATAAACTTTTTACACAAATTTTATTAAAAAGAATTTAAATGAACGTTAGTATTAATTAAACTATTAATTTTATGTTTTTACCCCTTTTCTTTTGTAGCTCCTTAGTGAATGTAAACAAAAGAAAAGAAATGCTAACTCAATTCATTTTAAGGGGCAAAAGTATGATAAAAAGGAACTTTTAAGGAGCTTAAATTGCAAAGTGGTTATTGAGAAATCTCGGAGCGTTGAGGAATTAATATTAGCCCAATCGTATAAAGTGGATTCAATAGATATTAATCGTCATGGTAAGTTTGTGTGCTTTTAAGTTCGCATAAGGAGTTCTTTATAATCATAATTTTAGAAAATCAAGCTGATAAAGCAAATGAGATGAAAACAAAGAAGAATGTAACAGGTAAGATTCCTCATTGTACTTGTCCTTGATAATAAGCCACTTGTTATGCAATTTTGACGGAAGTTGTTATCAAAAAAATATTTTAACCTTATTATTAAAGTTTTTGTTTTTTTTATTTTTTAAATTAGCAACAATAAACATGGATAGTGAGAAAACCGAAATGAAAGAAAGAAAAACCTTTGTTTTGCCGGCAAATTTGCCAAAAATCCAAGTAACATTTAAATCTAGTGGTGAGGAAACCACGAGAATAATTAAGGATAATACTAAAATAGATAAAGTCGTTGTTAAAAGAAAATCGTGGATGCGTAAGAAAAATAATGAAATTTTTGAAAACGTCAGGATAACATCTAAAAATGAAATCTTTTCTGATGCAGCTTTAGGTCCCCAAAATCCTGAATTAATCGATTCGGAACGTTTGGTTCAAATCAAACGGTGTATTTCTAATTTAGAGAATCACATAGAAAGTCACCCATCAACATCAAAAATTTTTTTACCCTCAGAATCTCAATCTAAAGTTACAATAATCCCCAAACAAATTCCTCCTTTAATAATCACCATCCCGATTGCACAAACTCCCACAGAAAAATCTCCAATAGAAAAAAGCCCAATATTAAAGTCCCCATCAAAAAATATAAGTCCTTCTCCACCACTATTTAGCGTTTCAAATATTTCTACTCCATCTTTAAGTCCAATTTCGTTTTCATCAAATGAAACACAAAATATGAGTAGTTTTAAAGTAGATAAGTCTGTTGAAGAATGTGTTTCGAAGGAAACTTTGGAACAACCGGTTTTTGTAGAGCCTAAAATGATTACTAAAAGTGTGGTACCTCCGAAAGTTATATCTGGTTTTAAAGTTCCGTTGGCTCCAAAAAGACCGCCTACAAGGTTAAAATATGTTAATGATTTGAGAGATGTTCTTCAACAAAGACACATTGATCAATTTCCACCTACTAATACTAATCTTAATGATGATGATGATGATGTTTTGTCGTTATATGCAGAGTAAGTATATGAAAATTATTTTTGTGTAAGATTTAATAATATTTCTGGAGTGATTATATTATTTAATTGAATTTCAAGGTTATATTAATTCCTAATAAAGGTCGCTTGTGGGCGAGGCTGTATATTGTTGCCATATTGATACAAAGCTACATAATTTTTAAGGGTATATGTTCTAATTAACTCGCTTATAAATGGTCTGTCATAAACAGCTATACTACAAGTAAGGCTGGATACATATTCGAAGGCCAGAAATCGAAGCTGTCATTTATAATTTAACCCTTTATGCTCCGACGGTACTTTAATACATTCATTTTAAACTGTAGTCATTTATTTGACGCATTTAGAGCTGTTGGTACTTTTTACTATACAAGAAAGAGCTCCTTTGTTGCACTGTTTTTCAATGACCCTCAGCAAAATAATAAGACAAAAATTGAATTGATTATAAGCGCAACAAAAATTAAAACAAACTTAAAATACACAATAAGGAATAATCATAATCCATACTTCAGCAAAAATTTAAGAATTATACTGGTGCAAAACTAAACTTAAGGAAATAGTCGGGAATACTCTGGTCAGAAGATTAATTTGCAAGAAAAAGTNGAAACGTATTTTGAGGTTGGTGATTGATTTTTGGAGTCAGATTACAGTTGTTAAAAGCTTAACATCATTTGCTTAACCAACTAGGAACTTTAGAACATGAAGATAAAAGGTGATTAAGAAATCACTGTAGCCAGAGTAATAACAAAAGTATTCAGCACATATAGGAAATAGAAGCAATAGGTGTCTTGTTATCTGTAACTATAGCGTATTTATTACAAAACAAATCTGAGTAACATTCAACCCAACAATTATGTAACTCTTTTAATAACGAAGCTTTTAAGAAGAATTTGGGTTCTTCTAGGCTATGAATCAATCTCAATTCCAACCAGCTAGGTCTCTCTTGAATACCTAATATAAGTTGAAACACATTTTTAAATGAATTAAAGTTGTTGCAAAAGTAAATTGAGATTTTGGAGATTCAATTTGTAAATGAGAAGTGTTCTTAACTTTCTAAATACATTTTTAAATCTACAATTATTTTATAATTAAATAATTTTATTTTATTTCTATTAAAACATCCTTTTAAAGGCACCTTTTGGTTGAAATAAGCATAATTCAAGGTAAATTATGATGACTCAGCTTCTTTAAAGTAATTTACTACATTGATAAAAGGAGCTGAGTCATACGACCTTCGACTAAACACAAAATCAGGATGGTTCAAGAGTTTTACGGAGGTATAAACCTACTTTTCCAAATCAAGAAGACATACAATTATAAAACAGACAATTCAAGGTCGAGTTCAATGTTGTATAAGAGATCTAAATTAAATTTTGAGGTCGAAACTATTTTTATAAAGCAATTAAGCATATTTATTTAGCAAATTTAAATAATTTTTTTAGGTTGGTACCAAAATGGCGGACAAGAATTTTTTCCTTATCTAAAAATTCAAGGTTATATCTTTTTTTCTTACCGAAAATTGTGTTGTTGGGATTCATAGCGACTTGGTTTTTAGCGGCATCTCCAATAAGACGTTCGGTGTCTGTGAATGCAACGTACGAGGGCGTCGTCCTGTTACCCTGATCGTTGGCGATAATTTCGACCTTTCCATGTTGGAAAACACCGACGCAAGAATACGTCGTGCCCAAATCGATACCGACTGCTGGTGCTTTTGCCATCTAAACGTTAATGAAACGATTATTAGCAAAAAATAAACTTCACAAGTCAAAAATTAAATAAATTAAAGAATAAGATCGTACCTTGTTTTAATTTCTTTATGTGCTAATTCTTAAAAGGTTCTAAAAGTTGTGAAAATGCGACGTAATGACGCTCACTGTACGAAGGTTTTTACACGAATGGCCGGCTCTTAACCGCTGCTTCGAACCTTATAGCAAACGATGGATTTTCTAGAACGTCCTGGAAGCATCGCCCTGTCAGCCAATCAAAACGCACCAATTTTAGTACCAAATCGTTTCTTATTGGCCGACATTTTATAGCCTCGAACCCCAATAATTAAAAACACAATTTAACAAATAATTATTATTTAAAATCAAAAATAATCACCACCAATCGATTTAAAAAAATTTTTTTTACCCATTAAACCCAAAATTAATATTAAAAGTTACCCGGAATAAATTCTTTTAATCCGCGTGGTCGCAGTATAAAACCGTCAATTTAAAAGCGGGAAATTCAAAAATCTTTCAACGAATTACAAAAATTTAATGTTTTATCTTAAGATATGATTAAGATTAATTAAATATTTTTATCGGGTAAAGTCCGATATCGATTATCGAACCACGTGGTGAAATTCGTCGTAAAATTGTAATGAAATACTCATATCCGTTACATTATCATTATCTTCTAGAATATTCAACGAAAAATTCCATGATGATTAAACGAAATAATAAAACGAATTATTAAACGAAATAATTAAGCAGAATGGATCGATGAAAAAGCACGTGTTACAACGTAATTCGCATTTTCTTGTTGAAACAACACAAAGGGATTTTGTACCAAAATGATCGAAATTAGGATTAGATTTGTGCCTTAAAGTTTGTAGAAATACTTTGTGGGAATTCTTTGAGGATTTTATAACATTTATTTATTTCATTTGAGAAGTTCTCGTTGTAAAGATGTGGGATTTTCTGGGATATAAACGTGGTGAAGGGAATCAAAGGATAGGGAAGGTCCGAAGTTGCCTGGGGAACCCAGACACACCGACGATATACAACGCTATATTGCCTTTCGCAACTGTAACTAAATAATTGATTTGAAATCCTATGGTAGCGACTGTGGCCTTCCTTTTTTTGCAATAATTGGTTATAATAAATAATTAAAGTTTTAATGTAGATAGCAAGTTTAAAGTTTTCTGTAAGACTTAGTGTAATTATTATCCACTAGATGGCATTTCAAATTTGATGAATAACTTGAATAAAATTATTTTTTGTTAATATTTTTCAATATTTTATTGTATTATTATTATTTAGTAATAATAATATTGAAAATACCTAAATTTATTTCACATTTCTTTAATAATTTTAGGGTTTTTAACTTAATTTCTTAAGTTGGTATTGATTGTGTCACTAAAATTATTTATTGATAAGAAAATCAATTTCGCTTAATTATTGTTTATACTCAACCTCAAATCAACTTTGTGACGTTTTATTAACTTAACCTATATTATTTAAGTAAGCCAATAAATTAATTTAATTAAAAATTAACTTAGAAAGGAGACATAACCTCAATCTTGTCTAAACATAACCTAAAATGCCAAAATATTATTGTGATTATTGCGATACATATCTCACTCATGACTCCCCAAGCGTACGAAAAACTCATTGTACTGGTAGGAAACATAAAGATAATGTTAAATTTTATTACCAAAAATGGATGGAGGAGCAAGCTCAGCACTTAATCGATGCTACAACAGCTGCTTTTAAAGCTGGGAAAATCGCTAATAATCCGTTTGCGCCCCCTGGAAAGGGGGTTGCTATTCCACCCCCGGCTCAATTAACCATGGGACAAAGACCAAGTGGGCCTGGAGCACCCGGAATGATGCCACCAGGTTTGATATTACTCAAAATAATAAAATTTTAATTAATCTCATTACAATTTATTGTAGGAATGACTCCTGGTGGACCAATGCCCCCGATGATGATGGGTCCCCACGGTCCGATGCCTCCTATGATGGGAATGAGACCGCCGATGATGGGAATGATGCCGATGGGACCTATGGGGCCTATGGGACCAGTTCGACCTCCTATTGTTAATCCTTAAATTTAAAAATAAATTTTCTAATTGTATTAAAAACTAATTTAATGAAATAAATTTTTATTGAAACAATTTCTTTTTGTCACTCAAAAAAAAATGTCAAAAAAATCTTAACCATTTCAAAATCAAACTTTTTTTCATTTCAGGATCAAAATTTTTAGTATAAAAAAATAGAATAATGAACAATTTAACGGAAAAATAATATGCCGTCGTCGGTATTACTAAATTCCTAGCATTTAAACAAAATCTTCCTCAGCACATTAACTTCTTTTTAAGGGAGAAGTCATTCAAATCCATATCGGACAAGCCGGAGTACAAATAGCAAACGCATGTTGGGAACTTTACTGCTTAGAACATGGCATACAACCCGATGGTTGTCTTTATCAAGGTGGTGGACGAAACGTAGATGATAGTTATAACGCGTTTTTCTCAGTTTCAATGGCTGGGAAATGTGTGCCAAGAGTTGTGATGGTTGATTTAGAACCAACGGTGATAGATGAGATTAGAACGGGAACTTACCGGCAATTATTTCACCCCGAAACTCTTTTAACTGGTAAAGAAGATGCCGCTAATAATTATGCGAGGGGTTGTTATAGCGTTGGAAAAGAAATGATTGATTTAGCTTTAGATAGGACTCGAAAGATTGCGGAAGGGTGTCATAAAGTGCAAGGATTTATTTTATTTCGCGCTTTTGGAGGAGGAACTGGGTCGGGATTTACTACTTTAATGATGGATAATTTGTGTTCTGATTATGGAAGGACGAGTAAATTAGAATTTGCTGTTTACCCAGCTCCACATGTAACCTAAACATTGCTTTAATTAATTGTTATTTAATAAAAAATTAATTTAGATATCCCCGGTTATTGTTGAACCTTACAACGCCGTTTTAACAACTCATGGTTGCATGGATTTCGAAGATGTTTGCTTCGTTATGGACAACGAGGCGATGTACGACATCTTAGCAAGAAGTTTAGATGTCTCCCGTCCAACTTACACCAATTTAAACCGTTTATTAGGACAAGTCGTGTCATCGGTGACTGCATCTTTACGGTTTGAAGGCCAGGTTAACGTGGATCTAGTCGAATTTCAAACGAATTTAGTGCCTTATCCAAGAATTCATTTCCCTTTAATTACCTTTGCTCCTTTTGTACCTGCCTCAAAAGCTTACCACGAAGCTTTATCAACTGCTCAATTAACAAATTCTTGTTTTGAACCTGCTAATCAAATGGTTAAATGCGACCCGAGAAACGGACGTTACATGTCTTGTTGTCTTTTGTATCGGGGGGACGTCGCCCCAACGGATGTTAATAACGCCATTGCGAATATAAAGAGTAAACGGACGATTCAATTTGTTGATTGGTGTCCAACTGGGTTTAAGGTTATTAAATTAATGCTAAATTTTATTAATTTGTAATAAAATTGTTTAATTTTCGTTTAGGTCGGTATAAATTATCAACCCCCAACGTGCGTACCTGGTGGTGATTTAGCAAGAACCCAAAGAGCTGTTACAATGTTATCAAATAGCACAGCAATAAAAGAAACTTGGCAACGAATATGTCACAAATATGATCTGATGTTTAAAAAAAGGGCTTTTATACACCATTATGTAGGTGAGGGAATGGAAGAGGGTGAATTTACTGAGGCTAGGGATGATATCTCAGCTTTAGTTATGGATTTTAAGGAAGTTGATGCTGATACATGAACTGTTCTTTTTACAAAATAAATTTATATAAATAACACATCTTTCAATTATTTCTATCTTGATTTATCCGTTTCAGCAATTGGATTAGCATGGATCGTAATACTATTTATTTTAACATCTTTTAACGGTTTATAATTTTTTGGGTTTACTTGCAACTTTTCTAACTCATCCAAAGTATCAAAACCATCAATAACTCTTTAAAAAAAATAAAAAATTAAAAATAATTTAGATCAATTAAAAATCATTTACTTTCCAAATAAAGTATACTTTAAATCTAAATGTGGGTGAGGCCCATATGTGAAAAAAAATTGACTCCCATTTGTATTTGGGCCATTATTAGCCATCGAAACCATCCCTCTCGCATTATGCTAAAAATTACGAATCGAAATAAAAGGAATAATTTTATTTTTTAATTTACTTTGACTTCTTCTTTAAATTCATCCTCAAATTTTCCACCCCAAATTGAACTTCCACCTTTCCCCGTACCTGTAGGATCCCCCGTTTGTACAATAAACCCTTTAATGTTTCTATGAAATACGGATCCGTTGTAATAATCACTCGCACACAAAGCTAGGAAATTTTCGCATGCTTTCGGGCAAGCTTCGCAAAACAATTCTAACTTTATCGTTCCTAAATCGGTGTGTAATGTTACAGCCTAAAAAATAAATTAATTAAAAAAAATTAAAGAAATAAACAAATTTAAACCATATTGAGGTTAGGTTATCTGTCAATGAATTGTTGCTGTTTAATCTAACCTAAAAGTGTGAAGAAATGTGTTCGTTACAAAAAAATTGATTTAATGTAAAAATAAGTGAGATTTAATACGCTTTTATTTGGTTTATATGAAAATCGATTAATTAACTTTATTCTAAAACGGATTTAGAATTTAATTTTATAGGAAAATTAATAACCTAACACTTTCGTGGGTAAGTTAGATTCCTTTAAATTTGACGTATTAAGTATAACCTATAAACAAATAAACTTGAGGATTTTTATAAACTTTTTAAACAAACTTTATTAAAAAGAATTTAAATGAACGTTAGTAATTGTATTAAATTATTAATTTTATGTTTTTACCCATTTTCTTTTGTAGCTCCTTAGTGAATGTAAACAAAGGAAAAGAAATGCTAACTCAATTCGTTTTAAGGGGCAAAAGTATGATAAAAAGGAACTTTTAAGGAGCTTAAATTGCAAAGTGGTTATTGAGAAATCTCGGTGCGTTGAGAAATTAATTTTAGCCCAATTGTATAAAGTGGAAATACGGATCCGTTGTAATAATCACTCGCACACAAAG